TTGATAACGATATCTTGGTAACTTTACTGCCAGATCATGTGGAATATGTTAGAACTTATTCTTATCAGCAACATCAGTTGATATCAGCGAGGTAACAAACCAGCTACTTCAAAAATATCAACATTTGTCTCCAAAAATAGCATAATTTGAAACAAAAGGTACCAGTAGCTGAGTTCATTACTAATGATATCTTGGTAACTTTACTGCATGATAATGTGGAATATCTTAGAGATTATTTTTATCAGCCATATCAGTTGATATCAGCGAGATAACAAATGAGCTACTTCAAAAATATCAACATTTGTCTCCAAAAATAGCATAATTTGAAACAAAAGGTACAAGTAGCTGAGTTCATTACTAACGATATCTTGGTAACTTTACTGCCAGATCATGTGGAATATCTTAGAGATTATTTTTATCAGCAACATCAGTTGATAGCGAGGTAACAAACCAGCTGCTTCAAAAATATCAACATTTGTCTCCAAAAATAGCATAATTTGAAACAAAAGGTACCAGTAGCTGAGTTCATTACTAACGATATCTTGGTAACTTTACTTCCAGATCATGTGGAATATCTTAGAAATTAGTTTTATCAGCAATATCAGTTGATATCAGCGAGGTATTAAACCAGCTACTTCAAAAATATCAACATTTGTCTCCAAAAAAGAGCATAATTTGAAACAAAAGGTACAAGTAGCTGAGTTCATTACTAACGATATCTTGGTAACTTTACTGCATGATCATTTGGAATATCTTAACAATTAGTTTTATCAGCAATATCAGTTGATATCAGCGAGGTAACAAACCAGCTACATAAAAAATATCAACATTTGTCTCCAAAAATAGCATAATTTTACACAAAAGGTACCAGTAGCTGAGTTCATAAATAACAATATCTTGGTAACTTACTGCATGATCATGTGGAATATCTTAGAAATTAGTTTTATCAGTAATATCAGTTGATATCAGCGAGGTAACAAAACAGCTACTTCAAAGATATCAACATTTGTCTCCAAAAATAGCATAATTTGAAACAAAAGGTATCAGTAGCTGAGTTCATTACTACCGATATCTTGGTAACTTTACTGCATGATCATGTGGAATATCTTAGAGATTGTTTTTATCAGCAACATCAGTTGATATCAGCGAGGTAACAAACCAGCTTCTTCCAAAATATCAACATTTGTCTCCAAAAATAGCATAATTTGAAACAAAAGGTACAAGTAGCTGTGTTCATTACTATCGGTATTTTTGTTACTTTACTGCCAAATCATGTGGAATATCTTAACAATTAGTTTTATTAGCAATATCAGTTGATATCAGCGAGGTAACAAACCAGCTACTTCAAAAATATCAACATTTGTCTCCAAAAATAGCATAATTTTACACAAAAGGTACCAGAAGCTGAGTTCATTAATAACGATATCTTGGTAACTTTACTGCATAATCATGTGGAATATCTTAACAATTAGTTTTATCAGCAATATCAGTTGATATCAGCGAGGTAACAAACCAGCTACTTCAAAAATATCAACATTTGTCTCCAAAAATAGCATAATTTGAAACAAAAGGTACCAGTAGCTGAGTTCATTACTAACGATATCTTTGTAACTTACTGCATAATCATGTGGAATATCTTAGCGATTATTTTTATCAGCAATATCAGTTGATATCAGCGAGGTAACAAACCAGCTACTTCAAAAATATCAACATTTGTCTCCAAAAAAGAGCATAATTTGAAACAAAAGGTACAAGTAGCTGAGTTCATTACTAACGATATCTTGGTAACTTTACTTCCAAATCATGTGGAATATCTTAGAAATTAGTTTTATCAGCAATATCAGTTGATATCAGCGAGGTATTAAACCAACTACTTCAAAAATATCAACATTTGTCTCCAAAAATAGCATAATTTGAAACAAAGGGTACAAGTAGCTGAGTTCATTACTAACGATATCTTGGTAACTTTACTGCATGATCATGTGGAATATCTTAGAGATTGTTTTTATCAGCAATATCAGTTGATATCAGCGAGGTAACAAACCAGCTACTTCAAAAATATCAAAATTTGTCTCCAAAAAAGAGCATAATTTGAAACAAAAGGTACAAGTAACTGAGTTCATTACTAACGATATCTTGGTAACTTTACTTCCAAATCATGTGGAATATCTTAGAAATTAGTTTTATCAGCAATATCAGTTGATATCAGCGAGGTATTAAACCAGCTACTTCAAAAATATCAACATTTGTCTCCAAAAATAGCATAATTTGAAACAAAAGGTACCAGTAGCTGAGTTCATTACTAACGATATCTTTGTAACTTACTGCATAATCATGTGGAATATCTTAGCGATTATTTTTATCAGCAATATCAGTTGATATCAGCGAGGTAACAAACCAGCTACTTCAAAAATATCAACATTTGTCTCCAAAAAAGAGCATAATTTGAAACAAAAGGTACAAGTAGCTGAGTTCATTACTAACGATATCTTGGTAACTTTAGTGCTAGATCATGTGGAAATTCTAATAGATTGTTTTTATCAGCAATATCAGTTGATATCAGCGAGGTATTAAACCAGCTACTTCAAAAATATCAACATTTGTCTCCAAAAATAGCATAATTTGAAACAAAAGGTACCAGTAGCTGAGTTCATTACTAACGATATCTTTGTAACTTACTGCATAATCATGTGGAATATCTTAGCGATTATTTTTATCAGCAATATCAGTTGATATCAGCGAGGTAACAAACCAGCTACTTCAAAAATATCAACATTTGTCTCCAAAAATAGCATAATTTGAAACAAAAGGTACAAGTAGCTGAGTTCATTACTAACGATATTTTGGTAACTTTACTGCCAAATCATGTGGAATATCTTAACAATTAGTTTTATTAGCAATATCAGTTGATATCAGCGAGGTAACAAACCAGCTACTTCAAAAATATCAACATTTGTCTCCAAAAATAGCATAATTTGAAACAAAAGGTACCAGTAGCTGAGTTCATTACTAACGATATCTTGGTAACTTTACTGCATGATCATGTGGAATATCTTAGCGATTATTTTTATCAGCAATATCAGTTGATATCAGCGAGGTAACAAACCAGCTACTTCCAAAATATCAACATTTGTCTCCCAAATTGCATAATTCTAGACAAAAGGTACCAGTAGCCGAGTTTATTACTACCGATATCTTGGTAACTTTAGTGCCAGATTATGTTGAAAAGCTCAGAGATTGTTTTTTTCAGCACTATCAGTTGATATCAGCGGTGTAAAATTCCAGCTACTTCAAAAATATCAACATTTGTATCCCAAGTTTGCATAATTTTACACAAAAGATTCTAGACGGTTATTTTTATAAGGTTCAAGTCATTTACTAGTAGCCAGTTACTAGTAGCCAACTTTACATACTTGTCGTAGCCAGTTACTCGTAGCCAACTTTACATACTTCTCGTAGCCAGCTACTAGTAGCCAGTTACTAGTAGCCAAATTTACTTACTTCTCGTAGGCAGCTACTAGTAGCTAACTTTACCACTTGTCGTAGCCAGCTACTAGTAGCCAGTTACTAGTAGCTAACTTTACATATCTGTTATACCAGTATTAGTTGAGTAGCTAATTCATTCATTTCTCATTATTTATTAGTCTATCATAACGGAGCCAACTTGGACTGAGTTAAAACTAAAGCATAGAAACTCTTTAATTTCATACCGTATGTAACTTTCATTAACTTTAGCGTACATGCCAAGGTTGAAGAAATATACAGTCTATGTTTTTCAGAGACCGTCTCAAAAACAGGTATACAGTCATGTATTTACTTAATGGATATATTGGAAAATGCTATTCTTTCGCTCTTCAAAGCAATTAAACAAAAGGTACGACAAACTTTTTCCTCAAATTAGAAAAATGTGATGAGAAATAATAAATTGTACAGTATATTAAACGCTAATTTTCATCCTCTGCTTTCTAGAGGGGGCATCTCAAAATGTCCAATTTAACGAAATTTTACTGATTTAAGGAATACTACAAAATGTGACAGACACAAAGGATTTATACAAAAAATTACAAGATTAATAGTAAGCTTTTCAAATTTTTATGCATAAAATTTCAAGAACTTATATTGTACACTTCTGCTTTTATAACATTTTATGACTCTCTCTTGGAGAAATTTAGTTCATTCTAACGTCACAAACACACTTTTCGGTGTCAATCTAGCTGTCGGTTATTGATTGATTGATTGTATACTGTTTAACGTCCCTCTCCAGAATATTTCACTGATATGGACACGTCACCATTGCCGGTGAAGGGCTTCAAATTTAGGCTTATGCTCGGCACTTACGGCCTTTGAGCAGGGAGGGATCTTTATCGTGCCACACCTGCTGTGACACGGGGCCTCAGTTTATACGGTCTCATCCGAAAGACCGCCCCATGTAGTCGCCTTTTACGACAAGCAAGGGGGTACTGAGGACCTATTCTAACCCGGATCCCCACGGGGGAGCTGTCGGTTAAAAAATCGTTTTAATAATCAGCAATATGAAATTGTAATTTAGCTTTTTAACCTGTGGTGTCTTAATTTCATATAATTTTATTAATTTATAATAAAACTCTTCAAATGTTAATACGCTTTTTATAAGATGATGCGCGAAGTTTTGCTCAATGGAGTCTTTTGTAGGCTCCCTTAATTGTAGAAAATAAGATAATTTATCCTTCAAAATGTAAGGTGATGCGGATTGAAAAGTACATTTTTGACAAAAGTCATTGTGTTCCAGGCAACATAAGTTATATATGTACGATATAGTCTGAATGTGTTTTTTCCAATCATATGTTGCGTTCCAACAATAAATAAATTACAAGTATTTGAATAGTATATATGCATTTTTTGGCGATTCTATTTTAAATGTTAAAGGTGCATAGATACAGATTTGAAGGTCCTATATATCCTATAGCTACTGCATTCCACTACTTCACCAGAAATTTACTAAAGTAGTATCTGCAATGCATATGACCAGCTACCAAATTAAAGTGAAGACGGGGGATAGACTGGGTTCGGGTACAGATGCCAACATAGAGATAGTTCTACTGGGAAGCTGTGGGAAGCAAACAGAGTCGGCCAATCTTGACTGTTGGTTTAGAGATGACTTTGAACGATGCAAGACCGATGTCATAACTATACACGATAAGACAAATATTCCTGAAGTAAATGAGATCAAGTTGCGAAGAAACAAAGCGGGTTTGTTCAGTGATTGGTTCGTTGAAAAGGTAGAAGTAACCAATCAAAGGAGCGGAAAGACCAGCGTTTTCCCAATACTTCGTTGGATTCGCCCTGACGTTGACTTCTATGTTGGACGATATGATGTCTCTCTGCCACAGTTTGATCCTCGGCCGCAACAGCGCAGTGCTGAGTTGGATGAGAAAAGGAAGATGTATGAGTATGAGGAGAAAGCCCCAGGATTACCCGTACAGGTACGGATGGAAATCTGTCTTCATATAAGAATAAGTTTATGTATTTTTTATCATGGTGTAAAAATATTTATTGTCTGTTTACTCATTTCATCGTAGGTTAAAAATGTTCCTGAAGATGAAGTGTTTTCCTTTTCTTATAAGGTAGGTGCCAAATTTCTAACTTTGCAATCTCTGTAGATGTCCAAACATTTATACTTTCACCCTTTTTTACAATGGTACATGCATATCGTTTTAATTCATAAAAAGATATATATTTATGAAACGGGCTAAGATAAATAAATAGTTGTTGATCTTAAAAAAATCTATAAACAATATGAATGTTTGAAGAGGGCATAAAACACTGAACCCTGGAAGTTCCAGAGATAGAATAGTAAGTGTCTAGGAGTAATTAACATCCCCTATTGACTGGTAACACCCGCTGTAGCCCTTTTTGTTGACCGGGTGGACGGAACATTTCGTAGCCAAACTATGACCTAATGATAAGTCATATTTGCTTACAAAGTCATAATAACAGCCAAAGAATTGACGAAATATCGACTTAAAACAAAGTTACTGAAATCACTGTAACATCAACTTATCGGTGAGTAGCACACCTTGCTTTTTAAATTTATCGTACTCATAGGAAGCTCTTGAGTAGCGAATGAATTTGTGAGACATAAAGACCATAATCAAATTATAGCGTGAGTTATTCTCCAAAAGTTAAGAAATTCGGAAAACTGACAGTTGAAAGCCTGAGGTTATCTCGTTCTTCATGCAGTTATCATCTATTGTGTGGTAGATTTTGGCTACAGTGGTCAGATAAATGTATTTCAAGAATCAACATAAACGTAACTTTGGGGCTGCCAGACAACAGGGCGCACCCCTACGACAACATTTTATGTGTCGTCCGAAAGGGCAAGTAACATGCTGGGTTTGGGCTCACAATCATGCTGAGGTTATCTCGTTCGTCATGCAGTTATCATCTATAGTCAGTAAAACATCCAGAAATCAGGTATTTATTTTTTAATTTAAAAAGATTTTTAATTTTGTTATGTTCCTATAATGATTCATCTCTGGTTCTTTGAACTTGTGCTATATTATAAAATACAATTATGAAGAATATTTTATAGTCATATAAAACTTCATAAAAATATTACAATACCGAAGAGATTCTTCATCTTTTCTAGTATTCTCAACAACCAAAATGAATTTGAATTGCCATATCTACATGACGTATATTGGTTTCCGAAACTTCAGACAAAATCATTACAAAGAAGATTAATAATGGGTTCCAGTAAATTTTTACCGTGCATCTTTCCGTTAGTCGTCACTAAAATATCAACAGCAGTAAAGGAAAATCTTCAGAAGTACTGATAATAATGTGAAAGTCCTAAAACCAACCGTTTAAATGTCATTGTCAAAATTAAAGTGAATAAGTAGGTCAAACTCCAAGGTCATGGTCAAAGTTGTTGATATCAAATAAAAGGTTATGACGTAAGTTAAAGTTATTTCTAAAATAGATCATACTCAAAGGTCAAGGTCAAAAAGTAAAAGTTGTTGGTAAGAAATAGAAGATGTTTTCACAAAGAATACATTGTACATATATGAAGTATGAAAGTTCTAACATAAACTGTTCTTAAGTTATGGCCAAGGTTAAAGTTTTTGAAAAGCTGGTCAAACTCCAAGGAAAAGGTCAAAGGGTCCAAATGTTGGTATCCAGTGAAAAATAGTGTCATTGCAGATGTAACAATCGATTTGTAAACGAATGGATTTACTTCTATCTCGTTTTTCAATTAATAATCAGAAAAATCTTATCACGGAATAATATTTTTTATATACACTGATTACTTAGAATTTATCTATGGCTACGTACTTCACCAGGAAATTTTTCACAGTTTGCACATGTTCGCTTTCCAAACGCATTTAAAATTAATTTAAACGATAATGCAGATATACTAGTAATGTTCAGATACAGGGAGCCCCGATCCTTCAACTGGCGTCGGAATTTCATAAATATTATGGATTCTGTTGAAAATTACGCCAGACGATGGGCCAGTTATGAAAAAGAAGACGCTGACACCTTGTCAGAATGGATTAAATGTATCAGATCCATGTTAAAGTTACGTATTAAAAGATTGAGGGGCAAAATGAAAACCATCTATCCTTCTGTGTTCAATAAACCAGAAGTAAAAAATGAATTAGAAAGATTACACGATCAGTACGTACTGGTTCCTGCCGACAAAGCAGGTAACAACATTGTCTTCGTTTGTAAGGCTCATTATATAAATAGCATTCTAGAAGAACTTGGATTTAATTCTACAAGTGGTAATCCTACATATACTCATACTTCTCTTTCTAAGGAAGAAATTCTTCAAAATCACCTGTCAGTTTTGAATACTTTCAATATTCCACAGAGCCAAAATGAATTTGAACTACCTTATATATATTGGATTCCGAAACTTCATAAGAATCCTTACAAACAAAGATACATTGCAGGTTCCAGTTAATGTTCAACCAAGCCTCTTTCGTTAATTCTCTATAAGATATTGACAGTAGTGAAGGAAAGGAAAAACTTCAAGAGTACTGTGCAACTATATATTCAAGAAGTGGTGTAAATCAGATGTGGATACTTAAAAATTCTAAAGAACTTTTGGACAATTTGAAATCACAAGACTTTACAAAAATCAACAGCTTAAAAACTTACGACTTTTCAACTTTATACACAACAATTCCCCACGACATATTAAAATCCAGGCTTTTTGATATCATTGACAGCTGCTTCTTCAATAAAAATGGAACTCGTAAATTTACTTACCTCGTCATTGGTCATTTGCAAAATTATTTTGTTAAAACAGATTCTGATTGCACACATAAGTACTCTGAAGTTGACATCAAGAAGATGCTCGAGTTTCTGATTGACAATATCTATGTGGTTTTTGGAGACCAGGTATTCCAACAATCTATTGGAATTCCCATGGGTACAAATTGCGCTCCGTTATTAGCAGACTTATTTTTATATTCATATGAAGCAGAATTTATGCAAAATCTAATGCGTGAAAAGAAGAAAACACTTGCTGTGGCCTTCAACTCGACATTTAGATATATCGACGACGTATTGTCAATTAATAATGATAATTTCCATTCCTACGTCGATACGATATATCTTGGTGAGCTTGAGATAAAAGATACCACAGAGTCCGACACTTCTGGTTCATACTTGGATATTTTACTTGAAAAAGACACTAATGGTAATCTAACACCAAGCTATATGATAAACGTGATGACTTTAACTTTTCTATCGTCAACTTCCCTTACTTATGCAGCAATATACCTTCATTACCTGCATACGAAGTATATATATCTCAGTTGATTCAATACGCAAGAGCATGCTCTACGTATGAACAATTTCTTAAACGAGATAAATTATTGACAAGCAAGTTGATGAAACAAGAATATCAACAGTCTCGTTTAAAGTCATCATTTCGTAAGTTCTATGGTCGATACAATGACCTTGTCAGCAAATACAATTTATCATTGAGTCAAATGCTGACTGACGTTTTTCATACCAATTGTTAGTCCATTATTTATACACTGAATTGACTACGGATTTTTTTCCCGTTATTTCCTGATCATGACAACGAGCACACGGCAGGTGTGACCGGTCGGCAGGGGATACTCACAAACATGTTTCGGAGGTCCGTGTTTGCTCTGCTCTTATTTTGTATATTGTTTATTGGACTTTGAGATTGAATACTTTTCGTTATCTCCATATCCTTCATCTACTAGAAATTAATGTAAATAATTAAGAAAGGGAGTTCGAATAGCAGAAACAAACAAACAGAAATTAAAAATGTTTTATTCATATAATCACGGTTACATTATCACAGTTTGATCTGCAACAAAGAAAATACAGTTTGAAGGCGGGTAAAGCTTTGGAGATGATTTTCGGAGATGGATCATGGAAAACTTTAGACGACTTGACAGGTGTCTATTCAGAAACATTTGGAGAACCGAAGGTAACACATCTGTCGTGTTATTTATCTAAAGCATTGCAATGGATGCATAATAGTTCTTATTGCCTCTTAAAATTGAGAAATCTTAAGAAAATTCATCAAAGCATTTCAATAGTTTAGAAAATGGATTGTCATTGTTCAGCTCATCAAGACGTCAAGAGTTTTCTCTAGCATTTTGAGAAAAATTCCATTTAAAACGCCGCCAATTTATATAGTACACATAAGAATAAAAAGCATGATATATTCTTTTTCATGGTCAAAGCAATGACAACTCTTTTCTAAATAAGAAAGTGTACATGTCTTTAATCGAACAGGGGATGCAGGATTGGGAGAGTGATATAAGTTTTGGATGGCAGCGATTAAACAGCGTCAACCCCAATCTGATTCGGCTCTGTACACATATTCCAGACAAGTATGGGATCTTAATTATTGTTTATCTACAGACTTAATTAAAATATCGAATATTATGTTTAGGAAATAATGTGCGTGAAACTGTCACTATTACACATGTCAACAAAAGCAACAATCATGTTTCCAATATTACTAATAAAAAAAATCCATGGCATACCTACAATTTGAATCTCATCTTTCAGATTCGGGGTGACCGAAGAAATGATCAAACCTTTTCTAGATGGATTGACTTTATCCCAAGCTATCACTGACAAACGTCTGTTTATCACTGATCTTGAAATATTGGATGGAATTTCTCTAGTCGATGATTATATTGTAAGTCAAATTATCCCATCGTATATACGATATTTATATATATAAATTAAGTGTCTTTATTTTCAATCCATTCTTTGTGCATCCATTCAATTAGATTTAAGAACGGCTTAATGGGACAATGATTATTTATGTATTAAAAGGTTATTTATGTTTTTTTAAAATTACACGCAGTGTCCGATTCCCATCGCCCTCTTCTTCGTTAACAGTAAAAATCAGCTATTGCCAGTTGCGATACAACTTTTTCAACAGAAGGGATCAGACAATCCAGTAAGAACGACGTCTTGATAAAACTTCAAAAAGAAATCGTATTGAAAGTAAAGGTTATTCAGTATAATTCAAGATCGTCTTTTGAATGATAGAGGTATGACCTACTAATATTTCAGGTGTTTCTGCCAAGTGATCCACCTTATACATGGTTGATGGCCAAAATGTGGTACAACGTAGGGGATTCAAATTATCATCAAGCGTTAACTCATCTAGGTAGAATAGTGTTTTTTAAAGTAATTTTTTTTATATCTACTGAAATAGATTTCGTATTATAATTGCAATCATCTCTGTAGCAATGCTGTAATGTAAAATGAGCACCAGTAAAGATGCATCTTTCATATTTGTCATGTTTATCACTATAACACCAACCATATCCAACCAACTAATACTGATACACTCCAACAAACCTTGGATGTTATTGGTGGAGGACTTTGCATCAGATTTATGGGCAGCGGAAAGGGCAAAAATTACCATAATGAGAAAACAAACAATTATTTTAATTTCAATGACCATATAAACTTAACAAATGATATACAATGCATAATCAACAGACCTTTTCGCAGAACAAATATACATTAAAGGAAAACCAACGACCACGTAGGTAATAAACATATATAAATGCAAAATCAACGATTATCTTTGCAGAAGAAACGTACATAAATACACGACAAACGAAAAAAAACTTAACAAACGTGCACGCGGTAAATCTAGTCTTGCTGACACCGGGCTCCCGACGGTCCCAGATTTTTTTTTTTTTTTTTTTTTGCGATTTCTTTTTTGTCGGTTCACAGAAACTCTGCAAACTTCTCCGGCACATTTTCTTTTTAAATGAATTCAATGATATGTAAAAACTTAACAAACGTGCAAGCGGTAAATCTAGTCTTCTCGGCTCCCGACGATCCTTTTTTGGGCGATTTCTTTTTTGTCGGTGCACAGAAACTCTTCACACTTCTCAGGCACATTTCTGGGTTCAAAAAATTTCAATAATATATAAAAAACTTTGCGTATTTATTGCTGAATCAGCAGTATCATCTGCCAAAAAGCGGTAAATCTAGTACTGAGCTATAAATAAAAAACCACTGAAAAAAAGGATACCGATGCTTTCAGAATCGCGATTAAAAACAAAAAATTAAGGTAAAGATTTTTTTAATAAATGGAAACTCTCATTTACATGCAAGATAATTTATATGGCGATTGCACAAAAATTCCCCACACATTTTTTATCGTATAGAACTCTTTGCCAAATCATGTTTATGTTCCCAGGATCTACAACATGGGCGTGGTTCTACCTCGGATCCCCCTTTTATTTTTTCCCTTTTTTTAGTTAATTTATCTTAGAAATTTCAAATAAAAGAAAAGAATTTACATAAAATGAAAAAAATCTCATTCTCCTGAAGGCCGTTTCGTCATTTTTTTCGTTGTTGTTACATAAATTGGTTTTCCCCAATTCTTCAAATATTACAAGAATCTATTTTGATAACTTTTAATTACAGTGACATATCATATGACAGGAACGCAGCAACTTCTCCCAAATTTAAGAGTAGGGTCAAAAAAGGGTTATGTAGTGCATGTATATTAGGAAAAAATTGGTACTGAAAGAAGTTGAACCTAACACCCCCCCCCCCCACACACACACACATACCCACACCTTCCCTCACACACATGTATCGATGTCCGTTTTTGGTTTTCATATTTATAACGTAGTACTTTATTTACCGCTTTTTGGCAGGTGATACTGCTGATTCAGTAATAAATACGCAAATACATATCATTGAATTCATTTAAAAAGAAAATGTGCCGGAGAAGTCTGCAGAGTTTCTGTGCACCGACAAAAAAGAAATCGCAAAAAAAAAAAAAAATCTGGGACCGTCGGGAGCCCGGTGTCAGCAAGACTAGATTTACCGCGTGCACGTTTGTTAAGTTTTTTTCGTTTGTCGTGTATTTATGTACGTTTGTTCTGCAAAGATGATCGTTGGTTTTGCATTCATATATGTTTATTACCTACGTGGTCGTTGGTTTTCCTTTGATGTATATTTGTTCTGCGAAAAGGTCTGTTGATTATGCATTGTATATCATCTGTTAAGTTTTTATGGTCATTGAAATTAAAATAATTGTTTGTTTTTCTCATTATGGTAATTTTTGCCCTTTCCGCTGCCCATACAGATTCGTGTATTTCTCAGTCGTAAATGCCTTTTTTACTCATTTCATTCTTCGCTACGCGTCAAGTTCAACAAAAATTAACACTTTTTAACTTGTTTATTTCTTTCTTGTATATATTGATTTTGATTGAAACCTGATGTTAGTAATCCTTGAAAGTAGAATTTAACATAGTATGGGCATGCTACAAAGAAACTCAGATTTCAAAGTAATAACCTTGTGAGGAATTTCGAATTGGACCACAGGATTGCACGTTCGCAAAAAGATAGTAACCTTTTATGTCCAATGTTAGTGGAGGAGCTCCGAGTGATCTTCGATCCCACCCCTCCAAATGCTAAAATACTGATATATATATCAATATATATATGTATATATATATACTGATATATGTATATATATATATATATATATATATATATATATATATATATATATATATATATATATATATATATATATATATATATATATATATATATATATATATATATATATATATATATATAAAAAGCACTAAAAAACCAACAACACTGTATATCCTAAATGTCGGATCTATCAAGTAGATACAAGGTCACGGATGGAAATTTATATAAAGCACTAAAAATGACCAACGACACGAACAATAAAAATTGTCAAATTTTCGGGAAACCCTGTCCCTTCCTCAGTACAAAGAAAAAAGTTAAAAAGTCATAAGAACAAAGGAAAAATAGAAACAAAAACAACTAGCACTACTACTAAGCTACTAAACACTAGATATTTACATACTTAATAAATTACATGTTGAATTCGAAATTTTTAAGAACAATAATAAAGAAAGAAATCCGGACCGCTATGAAATGCGTCCGGTCTATCGGGTATACTCGGGTGAAGTGCGATTTACATAATTGAACGAATTAATTATGCTAATTAATTACGACAATCAGTAAATCGTACATTGTTTCATTCTCTCAAAATGGCGTAACTTTACTTAATAAAGAATAATCAAAGAAAAATAAGATGGCAGGGATATTTAAACATATGAATTATGATCCATTATAAATTTTGAAATATTTAAAGACTTAATACCGGGAAAAAATAAATAACAAAGGCGAAAGCAATACATAGCTATGTGGGTTGTTCGAGAGTTGGTGACGCAAATTGACTGTAGAGTTTACACTAAATTGAGAGAATAATCTTGTTTAGTATCGTCAGGAATTGGGTCTAGTTTACGTTCATTCTGGTGAAGTCATTTAGTTTGTTAATACCATTAGGGCGGAATGACTTCAATCTGTGCATCCAGAACTTTTCTTTGCTTTTTCTCTGAGCATCTGTCCATCTTGGGTTATGGTCAATCACCACTACTGTCATATCCTCCCATTTGTGACCCTCAAGGTTGAAATGTTCCCCAACGGGTTCATTGAGTTTTTTGGTCCTAATGGTCGAACGGTGGTTATTGACTCTCCTGCGGAGATCTCCTGTTTCACCAATATACTGTTTGGAGCAAACTTTGCAACTGATGAGATAAATGCAGTTGTCAGTATGACAGGACAAATTCCCTAGTATTTTGTAGCTGCGGCCTGTAACGGGGCTGCTAAAACTGTCTGTGTCAGTACTGTGCTTACAAAGAAGACATCTTCTGTCAGAGCAAGTTTTAAAGCCCCCGTTAGGTAATGGGTTGTCCAGTCTGGTTCTTACTACCATGTCCTTCAGGTTCCTTGGGCGTCTGTATGCAGCCAATGGGGGTTCCTTAAAGACCTCTGCCATTCGTTTGTTTGAATGGAGAATTGGTAGGTTCTTTTGAAGGATACCGCTAAGGTTCTTAAGGACGGGATGGTATGTGGTTACCAGAGGGACCCTACCGCTATTGTCTTTCTCCTTGTAGCGTAATAGGTTTTGCCTGTCATGTCCTGCCATCTCATCAATAGCTGTTTGTACGGTGCGGGCATTGTAGCCTCTTTTGCATAAGTGGGACTTAAGAAGACCACTTTGCTCCTGATATAAGGCAGGGGACGAACAGATGCGTCGAATTCTGGTGGCTAGACCCTTAGGCACTCCCTTAAAAGTGTGTGGGGGATGACAGCTAGAGGGCATAAGATATAGGTGGGAGTCTGTGGGTTTGGTGTGGAGACTGAATTCGATTTCACCATCAATCAGGGTAGATGTAGTATCTAGGAATACGTTTTTCGAATTAGATACGTCTACTGTAAATTTGATCGACTGATGAAAGGTGTTGGCAAACGTAATGAATGCCTCGAGGCTCTCGCGACATTCCACCCACTTCATCTCTATATCGTCAATGAAACGCAACCAGCTATGGGGCCTAAAAGGTGCTTGAAGTAACAAGTTGCGTTCAAGTCTGCCCATGAAGACATTGGCATAAGACGGTGCCATTTTCGTACCCATAGCAGTGCCATTAACCTGCAGGTAATGTTCTCCATTAAACATGAAGTTGTTGAACTTGAGAACATGTTCAAGGAGCTTAGCAAGGGACTCTGTAGAAGGAATTTGTATGGATCTACTATCCCAGACTTCTCTACAGGCTTCGATACCCTCATCGTGCGGAATATTGGTGTACAAGGATGTGACGTCCATAGTCACGAGGAGGGTATGATCTGGGAGGCCAGTAGAGGGCGTCTTGTTAATGTAGTCCGTGGTGTCCTTGAGATAGGATGGCAAATTCTCTACGTGTGGACGGAGATGTAAATCAATAAATTCAGAAATTTTCTCCGTGGGGTGTCCAATTGCGCTGACTATGGGGCGACCTGGCATGCCTTCTTTGTGTATTTTAGGAAGCAGATAGAATTGTCCTGGTCTACAATCAATAGGATTTAAGGTCTCATAGACGTTGATACCAAAAAACTCAATGAACCTGTTGGGGAACATTTCAACCTTGAGGGTCACAAATGGGAGGATATGACAGTAGTGGTGATTGACCATAACCCAAGATGGACAGATGCTCAGAGAAAAAGCAAAGAAAAGTTCTGGATGCACAGATTGAAGTCATTCCGCCCTAATGGTATTAACAAACTAAATGACTTCACCAGAATGAACGTAAACTAGACCCAATTCCTGACGAT